CACGCTTAACATAATCGATTATCTCGAAAATCTCGATCCTATTCTCAAAGGGACACGCTTAACACAATCGATTATCTCGAAAATCTCGAAATCATGAAGCCACAATTCCTTATTGGTCCACCTAAAGTGGCGCGAGATTACAAAGTCATAACTCTCTTACAGAAATCGGTTCGTACCCGCGCGTTTGCGGGCGGTACGATCACTCATTTGTATAAATTTTTCAACCGCATTCATGGAGAATTTTCCGTTTAGAGGAATTACGTGATTAATTCAATTAATATGTTTACTTACGGTAATTCGGCAAGTGATTCAAAACCACCTAGAGACTCCGCCAGGGTGAATATCTTAAGGGCTTTCAAAAATTTGTGCGAATCACCTTTCAGGTAAAACGTTACCATTCCACTATGTCCAGTTTGTTGTTTTTTGGCTATCTCATGTTGAGGATGTGACGGAAGCACTGCCAAAAAAGAAGTCTGTTATTTATAAGAAAATTGTGCCGGCGACAGTGACCGAACATCTTGGGTTCGAGTCCAACTCGGGGTATTGGCCATTTTAACCTTCCGAACACTGCCAAACACGAATATATATAGATACCAAAAATCAGGGGAAAGCGTTGGACAAAACATTCTCCCGTGAACCTTAGCCCCCGGTCAGATTCTCCTCTTTTCTCGATCAATCTTACTTATGTTCCCGTTGTCTGACGATTTATATCTATCTATTATGACTCAGATTCGAGAAAGGAACTCACATGGATGAAACACTTGCTTCACATGCGAGTGCGATTCCAGGAATTTAGCAACTGCCAAACCATTCGTCATGTGCTTCTCCATCCTGATTTCTAAGGTTTTTAGGCTCCTGTTAACTTGGTAGCAGTCGAAAGGTGAAGGAACGATTCCCAACGCTGTAATATAAAAAGAAATTTGTTAATTTTTGAACAACATTGGTAATAATTCGTAAAATCATTTCTTATTTACAAAGTGGTTGTCACTCTGAGTTTCCTGACACTTTTATTTCTTCTCGATCCTTTCGATTAAGGAATGCATAGGCTGTAGGATTTTGAAGCTTCTGAAAATAGCCTCCAAATGGTTGTTGTTTCTTTCGCGTATATTCATTCCCACGGGAGTTATGGCGTTTTATTCATCGAGAGAACTAGTTTCTGTGATATTTCCCAAATTTTTAATATTTTCCAAGTTTTGAAAATACCTACACTAGACCTTTACCAAAACAAGCGTTACACCGCTCTATTCGACAATACTTCAGTTAAACTTTTAATTGTTAATTTTTATTTGTTATGAATGGCGCTATTTGCCTATTCCGCCATTAGATGACCGCAATGCATTCTAGAGGTCTTCCCACGGCTTTACCCGAGAATTTTTATCGAAAATTATCCGGAATTTCCTCTAGTCAATCGACTCTGGAGAGACATGCATCGTAAACACCCGGGTGGACATGCAAAATCTACATCAAATAGGAGTCAAAAGTAAAGATGCAGCAAAATA